TAATGGCGGTGTGAGAAGTCGCCGCTTCTCGGGGTTGGCCGCGTGGCGCTGCTTCCGTAGACTGGCCTGGTTGCGAAGATGAGTCTGAGACCTTTTTCAAAGTGGCTGACACTTCACCCCCGTACTCGCTCAAATCCCTCACTGTTGGGTCTGGCGAGTCACCGACCAGATTGAAGAGCTGGAGGCTAGTTCCTTTGAGGATCAGGTTCTGGACTGTCTTCCTGGTCCCCTCATCAGCCGACAGCATAGCTGAACCGACAAATGCGGACATCTTGTCGGGGCACGCGGACCCTCGAGCGACGATGTCGCTAAAGACACTCATACCACCCAAGGCAGAAGGCGTCGACAGAAATAGCATCAAGTCGCGTGCAGAAGGGCTGCTATTGACGGAAACCTTTCCCCAGACATTGTGTGCCTTTAGAAGTGAGAAGGCATTGATCCTCGTCCACAAGTACCCCATGGTGTGAGCCAGCAGGGGTGTCGCCTGAGCTGCTAGATACGCCGCGGAGATGCTGGGGACCGCGGTCAGAGCTAACAAGCCTGGGTCGTCATCAGGACCAATTGGGATCATCAGTGAACAATGCAATTTCAGGACTTCGTCAATCATAAGTCCACGGTACTCGATCGTCCCGATCATCATGCCGGAGTCTCCCCCAACCCCGCTTTTCACCACATCGACTGAGCTTCTCAGGAGCTCCTCGATTTTCCGGCAGAAGTCCTCCATAACCGCGCCTGGGTCTGCTCTGTGGGCTATGGGCATAGATGCGTCCGAGTCGTCAATATACTGATCGGCATGTGTGATGGGACACAACATGCCGCTCGAACCGTCTGCAGCTAGTTCTGCGCTAGCCAGAGTTGTTGCGCCGATCCCCAGGGCGGAGTCTTGGCCCAGATGAATGCCCTGGGGGTATCCGTCAGAATAACCGAAAGTGGTTTCGGCACCCGGGGGACCACAGGATACCGTTGCTCCGGAATAGACGATGGCGTCGGTTGAGTCGCACCCAGAGCAAAAGTGCGATATCGTGTCGTAGCCGGCAGACCAAGCTTGGCGTGCTTGCCCCACGCTCCAGCTAGCAAAGTCCAGACCGAGCCTCATCATCCTTGCAGAACGCTCAATGAGAATGGAATAGCGGGCACGAGACCTTGCTGCTTTCGCGGCTCCTGATGCTGCAGGGGTCACGGATCCGAGTAACTTCAAGGCCCAAAACGTGGCATGCGATTCGGTTGCCTGGAGAAATTTCGCGGTGCAGGACAAACTCATCGGGGCTCTCATCCCCGGAATATCGGCCACCCCCAGATTGCATTGACCCAGCTTGTGTACAAGGACTTGCTCTTGGTACCCTTGACTTTTGGCGGCCTCATCTTTCCCTGCAGCCATGACTGCAGTTGGACCTCTCAAGTCGCTGGTGCAGTACCGCTTACTCCTCGATGCACTCCCATCAGCCGGTTTCATGGGCTGGTAATCTGGATCCGTGAAAGCTTTCAACTCTAGGCCACGTTTCCGACTTGCCATCGTTGTCCCATCAGTAACAGCAGCTACGGGCTTAACCTCGTATTCCCAAAAAGCGGAGACGGCCGCTGGAACTTTGCTGGACACCACATCATCCAGAGTGTCGCCGTTGACGTATTCCTCAATGCGGGCATCAGTTGGGAGAGGGCTCACGGGACCCCCAGACCGAGTTTGGACAAAAGGCAAGGCAGGGATCGTGACACCAGCCCTTGCGGCCATGGGCACCGTCACGTCTGAGGAATAGTTTGTTTTGTAGGTTCTTTCCTCAGGATGTGGCTCTGTGGGGAGTGACTCAAGTTCACCAAGCGCCCCAAAATCGCCAGTGACCTTGAGGTGCTGTTCCAGGGCCACCTCATCATGAGGATCGGGGCGTGCACTCCTGGCCCTCCGCATAGCTGTAGTAACCACACGCCTCTCTATGGCTCTCAGCGTCACAAGGGAAAAAGCCCGGGCAACCCGCTTCAATTGTTGAGCACCTGTGGCATCATCCCAGTTATGCTCCTGTGAGTGGACAGCAGGTACTTGACATTGCAACCGGCATTTCTCGGCCAGGGATTGGGCAGAGTACTGAGCGCCGGGAACAGCCCGGTGCCATCGGATGGCTTGCAACGCGGCAAAAGGGCAGATTGTCCGGGCAAGAGACAGCATCTTTGAGTAAAAGAGGAAAGCTTGCCCTCTTTTGGCCCGTATCGACTTCAGGATCTCCTCCTTCCTTGAAGTCATGGCGTGCCTGATCCCCAGATCCTCTTCAGGCAAAGACAAGATCGAGCACAACAATCCCGTCTTACCAACATGAGCCACTTCCCAGCGGTGAGACGGGTCACCCCCGGTCGTGTACTCGAATATGTACTTGGCGTACTCGTCATTCAATGCCGCAACCCCCCCTGGTAGCCCGGACCATGGATCAGCCGAAGCTGTTGTTGAGCTCGGGTAGCACGAAGACACTGCGGCTTCTTCTTGATGGCATAAAGCCGATTCAGCCGCAGTTATGCAAGCTCCGAGATGAACGGTCATGAGGTTGATCGAAGACGCACACGCCATGGAAAAGTCCGAAGGTGTCAAGACGATGCAAGTGTTTGTGGAACGGAAGCGGACAGCCTTGAACCTTTTGCCTTGCTGTGCAACCTTTGCCTGGCCCCAAAAGACTTTGGGATCCCATCTGTCGTCGAGGTGCAGCAGATCGAGTTGAGTGACCATTCGGAGAGGCTTCAGCTTGTCCCTGCCAGTGTCCTGAAACAGTCTGAACAACAGTTCTGTCGACGCTTCTAGCCGTGACATAGCCACCGTCAAGTCGTAAGTGGTCATCTTCCCAGCAATTTTGGCGTCCTCCAGGTCCGTTCTGAAAGAAGTGGACGCTGCTCGGCGATAAGCATCGTACAACTCATGCGATAGCTCTTCCTGCTTCAAAATAGACTTGCCAGTTGACAAACACGCGTTGGAATACGACAGGTTGCACAGCGGCAGTGCGTTCATTGCGCGGTCTCCAGTGAGGATAAGATGGTTCGGGTATAAGACAGGGGCTGTGTCCAGCGGCACTCCAGGATGTGTCTGGGTGGGGATCAGCGACATTTCACTTAGTTTTAAAAACGGAGTGAATTTCTCCAGCCTGATGTCTTGCCGAACCAAGTCCCTGACTCGGTGTCTCATCTGGGATCTGCTCACAACTCCATCGCAATGGTCGTGGATCAGGTTGAGATACTCTTTGAAGACGCTCGACTTCACCCCCAAATAATCCAGCGCGCCCAAGAAGCCGATCATTGCCCCATACCCTGCGATGTCTTTGATCGGCCCAGGGTGTCGTGAAAATCACCTGTGATTTCCTGCCACCGCGCACTTCTGCTGAAATTGGCTCCAAAACTCATCTGGTTCGTCCCTCTCACAGAGCATCATTGTGATCAAAGCTCTCGCTTCAGGTAATGGCAAGGCCAGTCTGCGGGGGATGGCCAAGGCCTGGGTGAACAAAGAATCCTCCCAGTGTCGGCAGAGAGAGGGGTCAGATGTGTGTTCTTTGGGTTTTGCTCCTGTTTTCAAAGCCAAGAACAAGCCTGTGGGGCACAGTTCGGCTGCAGCCGCGGCGAGAGAAGTTGTACCCTCCACTGGCAGCGGTCCCGCTCGACCGGTAGCCATGTGGAAAAATGCGTGGGAGTCTTCAAATGCTCCAATAATCGTAGTGACCAGTAGCGCTGCCACTGCCGTCGGGAGAAATGGCAGCATAGGATGGAAAAATGAAGCCTGGAATGCTAAAAGGTAGAGTGTTTATGCTTAAATCTACTGCACTAGCGAGAGCCCTTTAACTCCTCTCTAGTTTATATGAGCATCAGTCAACATTGCAGTGGGAATTCGTCTGAAGTTGGAGAACGACCACTGTTTGCACGTGCCTAGTGTAACCGATGTTAACGAGTGTAAGTTGTCATCGTGAGCAGAGTTGATCTGCAGTTTGAGCCGCTTGAGCCATTTTCTTTAGGGGTTTAGGGTTAAGGGTTTAAGGGTTTAGGGGCCCTAGAACCCGCGCCTGCCAACGTTTCACAAGTCCAGGGCCCCTAAGTGTCGCGCCCGCCAACGTTCCCGAGGCGCGCGCGGCACCGGTCCAGGGCCCCAGGGCCCCTAAATGTCGCGTCTGCCAACGTTTCACAGGTCCCCTAAATGCCGCGTCTGCCAACGTTTCACAGGTCCAGGGTCCCTAGTGTTGCTGGATAGCGTGACAAGATGGTATGTGGTGCGTTGCTGAGTCATGGTGTGTGGTGCGTTGATAAGTCATAGTGAGTCATCGGTGTGTGGCGCGTTGGCGCGTAGCGTGGCAAGATGGTGCGTGGTGCGTTGGTGAATCATAGTGAGTCATAGTCATAGTGAGTCATGGTGTGTATCATAGTGAGTCATGGTGTGTATGAGGAGGAAGAGCGAGGAGGAGGAGGAGGAAGGGGGGGAGGAGGAGGAGGAGGAGGAGGAGGAGGAGGAGGAGGAGGAGGAGGAGGAGGAGGAGGAGGAGGAGGAGGAGGAGGAGGAGGAGGAGGAGGAGACGGGACAGCCCCAAAAGTAAGAACCCCACACAAAGATGTGGGGAACAAAGAAACACAGCATGATATGTGTAAATAGTCTAAGCCGCTATAGTATGAAGATAGTGAGCTATCTCGGTGCCTTCCGGCGGCTCTGAGCTGCGGGTACAGTGCGCGCGGTGGTTCGGACAGTTTCCAGATTCCAGAGAGATCAGAGGTCGTGACCCAGAAAGTTCGGCTCTTCAGGTCTGTGGTCACAACCGGTTTTCTTTGTACTATCTTGGCCGAAGGCAGGAGCAGCTGCTAAATGTTGCTAACACCTCCCACGTTTCAGGGCTTGCGGAGAAGGACGGACCAGCAGCCATGTGAGACATGTAGTCCTTCATTTTCTGAATCGACGTTTCTTAATCCATACGTTACTAAGCAGCCTTCAAATCGGCAACGCAACGAGCTTGAACTCATAATTCCCTTCTTGACCCAGATGACCTCGACGAAGCTCAGGCCCCTCGCACCTGAGGCTTGTATGGTGAAGGCATGTTGCCATTGTCATACTTCTCCCACTCGAAGGTGTTGAACCTCAACACACAGGCCACTGCATTGTCTCTCTGCTCCTTTTGGCCAAGTCGAGGCCGAGTGGCCATGCGTGCTTCCGAACGTTTCCAGCTCCACCCTTCCTCATCGGAAGTCTGTCTGCAGGCTCCTGGCGTGGTGGCCAAGCAGATCCCGCATCAACCCTGTTGCTTGTGTTGTACTTACGGCATCTAAGGAAGCTGAACCCATGGGACAGATCTATGACTATCAGTCGTCTGCTTGCGGCTATCTTAATGGCCGCACATAGCCTGACTATGGACCTACGACAACGTCCGTCCTTCTTGCAGAGATTCTTGACAAGGTCCTCGTGCGGCTTGAGACTTCAAATCTCTAAAAAAAACAAAGGCACTGTCAAGCGGCTTTTGCCCCGCAGCTGTGGTTCCTCAACCACGCCCTTCATTTTGTTAGGGAAGTTCACTTTCGTGATGCCCTTGTTGACCTTGCTAGCGCCATGTATCAGGTCCACCAAGTGACTCACAACACACAGCAGACACAGCACCACCAATCCCAAAGCCTTCTGGTAGATCTGCATTGGATGCGCCGACCTTGCCACGCCAATTTTTTTCAGGACTCGGCCTCTGACAGAACTCACAGAACCAGAGGCGAGAGGCTCAAAGGGTGGATGGCCAGCCATGAGCTCAAAGCTCAACACACCTCCAAGCGCGGCTCAGGAAACCAGTAAACAATCAGACACAACACGAAAATGTCACACGTCGTAACAAGTGGCAGAGACCGAGGCAGGCACCGAGAGTCCACCTCGAATGGATATGGCGATGCCACTTATGCTGCTTCAATGTATCGAATATTCGACTCTGACACTCGCGCAAGGCAAGGCTTCGGTGGGTGGGGCCTCATATGAGGTGCCACACGCGCCGACTTTTTAGAGACCCGTCAGAATGATACGGCTCGCAGTGCCAAGTAGGATCTCAAACAGGCCCCTCAACTACCAACCATCACCTACTAGCAATACCGAATCAATCGGAATGACTTGCCCCCTCTGACCTTGCTCCAAACGGTCACCACAACCAGCTCAACCATTTTTTGGAGGTGCTGGCGTGCTCTAGTGAACTAGTCTTGTGATGTCCGTCTCGGCAAAACGCCAGCTGACTAAGTGCATTCGGAGCGCCAGTCGACGGCCATTGTATGACCAGCTGATGCGATCATTTCAGGTGCGAAGTAGTCGGGCGTACCGCATGTGGTATAGGTCCTGGATCGCAGCAGATGATGCTTGGGTGGCTGTGGGTGGCTATGCCGTGAAACGCTTGAAACGCTTGAAACAGCTTTGAGCACAGCACTTGCCGACCACAACCTTTGCCAGGCCCATGTCAGTCAGCTTGATGTGGCCAAGCCTGGCAGCTGATATCAGCTGATAGCTGATGGATCTGCGCATTGCATTTCTCAGAAATCAGGCCAGAGACCACTCTGTGAGAAGCAAGTTCTCTGGCTTCAGGTCCCGGAAGATGATCTTCTTGCCATGGAGATGCTCGAAAGCCTTAGGACTTAGGAGACGACCCCAGTGATCCTAGGGCAAGGAGTTGTGAAAACGGGCATCACCACCCGTCCATTCCGTGTCTGAGGGGCATTCACCACGCCGGCTACGTAGAACTTGGCATGCCCCTCCTTGCCAAAGAGACCTGCTCCACAGCTGCATTTGCGGAAACTGTATCAGCGCATTTCCGTGTATTTCCAAACAGAACCTGCCGCGGCTGCTAGGCCGCGTGCCCTTCTTGTTGTAGGTCGCATAGAGTTCACCTGAAGTCGGCAATACATGAGATTCCTTCCTCGCCCCGTAGTAGTGCAAGTGGTTTTGCAGCCTCCCAGTGCGGGCTCGAGAAGGAAATAAAGTGATTGGGTGCCGTTGTACGTCTCGTACAGCTTGATAATGAACCTCGACGAGGCGGTGAGTAGTGAGAAGCGGCAAACAGCTGGACCGCAAACTACTCCACTCTCACTCCTGAGGCCCGATGAAAACTGTCTAGATTGGCTCAGGAACGGTGAGTCGCACATGATCTGTACGTTCTTCTCGTTCAATACCTTAGCTCTGCGTGCGTGGTGAATCGGCCAAACACGAAAATCAGCTACCATCTGGCATCAGTATCTCCAGCGAACCGTTTTGGATGGCGCTTCTGGGAGGCTGGCATTTTGCTGCATGCCCGACCTGAGCTGTGAACTCCGGCCCCTCTGTGCCCACATGCCACAAAAACGGTTCACAAACAACGCTTCTCAGCAATGTGCTTCATGACGTAACCTTTGCTGAGAGCCTCCGGGCAGGTTGGCGATGCTTGCGCATGCTGCAATGTGTATAACTGCGATAGAAAAGCATGATGAATTAGAATGATCTGCAAACATGGGTTAAGACAGCTGCTGTGCTGCTGCAACAAAGGCCGGCCACTACAAACAGCCCGCCTAAATGCTTCCCCCGTTCGGCATTTCAGAATGATTTAGGGGCCCCCATTGTTGTATCGAGAAGTTCGAGACGTCGTACTGCCCCACGCCCCGTTCCACACCAGCGCCCAGATCTTTTGCGGAATGCCTCTCCCTGTCAGGCCCCAAATTGAACGTATCGCAACTTCGACGGAGAACAGTCTGAACGCATCTGTGCCAAGCTACAAAGCATAATGCTGCGGGCTACGAAAAGCTCCTGCATATGTTATGTCGAAACCCTCTCGTCGTGAGCGCTCAGATGATAGAACTTTTGCACTGAAGGTTAAGTCCTAAACGACAACAAACACAGACTCGTCCCAAAGTTTTTGTTGTCTGGGCAACGCAGTGCCTGAAACGAGATCCGAACTGAAGCGCGTCATCCGTCTC